AGGAGAATATTGTGCAAGAAAGCCGTACTACAGCTGGGGCTGCTTGAATGGAGCAATGCGCAAGATAGGCTTGAGATAGACGGATGAGCAGGTCCGGTGATTGGTGAAATAGATTTGACAGCTGACGGCAAGGTATTAAGGTCTCCGGGATGCAATATCGGTGAGACGAATGCGCTGATTGAAAGATTAGAAAAGAAGCGATTATGTACCAGGTGTAGGTAACGAGTATAAACATACGGCCAGCGCAGATTGGCGACAGTTGCGAGCGAATCAACCACGTCCTCCTTTCCTGGCCAAGCAAACTCTGCGGGCAAACTTTCAGGGCGATCGAGGATGTAACCTGGAGAGAGTCTGAAGATGACGTTTCCGAGCCACTATGCTCAATCAGTATGCAAATTCAACAATCTTTCTCGTATATAGACTAAGCAAACCTTAGGTGTAGCCTCCCGATCGAAGATGAACGCATGGAACAGCTGTGCGCAGGACAGGGGCATCAGCAACCAACTTCCAAACCACACAGGCCGATTCTCAAGCCATCCTTTTTCATCTATGGCATTGAAAAGAAACTCCAAGCTTCGGGTAGCCATCCAGATTGCGGCTGTCAGCCGCAGCTGATTCTGAGGGCATATGCCCAGGCCAAAAAGGGCCAGACTAGCCCCAACAGCAGGCGCATAGCGTGATGTCAACGCTTTTGACACTCGGGGGTTCCGATTACGGAAGGGCTGGGCTTCATCTGTGCGGAGGTTCGCGCGTAACCGGGTGAAGAAGCGATGCAGAAGCCTGTGGAAGAGAAGGACGAGCGAAAGGGACGCCGACAAGCGGAAGTTGGGGGAGCGGAGGAAAGAAGTTTGTGCTTTCTTCCTGTAGATTAAGACAAAGGCGAGACGTGAGTGTTAGCTAAGACGCATTTGACATCCGCTTGATCTGATTCTTAATTGGTCTGAAAGCTTACTTGGACAAATCACCTCGGATTCTTGCAAGTGCCCAACCAACGAATTTCAACAAAGCGCCTGAGCCGAGGAAGACTCGGATAGAGGCGCGGAGAGCTGCCTCATTGTATTTGTTTTTTGAGCGCACTATCGCTTCATATCTCGATGGAGAGGGCAATTTGGACTGAACCTTCACGGGGGCGCGCCGAACAGCATGGTCGTGGAGGATCTTGTATTCCTTGGCGCTGAGCGAAATGCGGAGAGCTTCACGAACGACGGGATGGACGTGGACCTGAGCGAGCCCATCAGGGTCGCGTGCGGAACTAGGTTCCATAATGCATCAAATGACTTACAAAAAGTCTTAGAACACAAGTATTTAAATATACATTGTGAGATGCCTCTGGGGTCGATAGATGGGGACTGGGGGAAGGAAAGGGAAGATTTAATGGGGAAGCATGGCTTGGATTCCGGGGCCGCTCGTGACCTCGGTTATTTTCAGCTGAATGATCTACGAACTATTAAGATTAGTAGAGAAGATATGAAGAAAACAAAAAAAATAAAAATAGAAAACTTGGGGTGCAAATAAAACCGAATAAGGTTTATATTGGTCATCGCTATGTTCTATCATCCATGCTGGATCGTCGAAAAACCCAAGACAGTCCTATACGCCGTGTCTGTGACTTAAGATTCACATGCCAGTCACTCATGGCCATATCACACATTTATATACACCAGGCATCAGGGTCACTTCTGGTCCGTTTACCTTCTTTGACTCCTGCTCTCCACTCCTCTGAATCCCTGCCAAACTGCTATTGGATGGTAGCTGTAACGTACAGACGGTGCTGGTTGGGACTGTAACTTCTAGCTGGGCACTCGTGCCCTCAGTCTGCTTACGATCGAAGCATACCCGAATTAAGCCGTACGGGCAATCAACTTCTCCTTCAACAAAGTCGAACTCGCTTCGAAATGGTGGCCGCAGTTTCCATGTGCGGTACGCATCGTCGACGGGCTGTACACCAAGCACCGCAGCGTAGAACCATTCATAGATCGTCCCCAGCATATCGTGACACTTGGACCGGCAAGCGTCCTGCCAAAACTCTGAGAGAGTGGTTTCACCGCGTCGGATGAATCGCATGTAACTGGGATGTTCCTCTTGCCTGGCCATGGCGAGGACAAGGTCGGGGCGATCTACTTCGGCCTCGGCAAATGTGCTCCAGACGTACTTCAGCCCAATTTCTCCAGCGCGGATCCTTGGACCCGACTCCTCTACAGCAGCAACAAACGCTTGGATAACATCAGAGCGATACTCTGCAGGCACCAGGCCGAACTGCAGCGCAAGCGCCTGGTTAACCATAGTGCGGTCATGGCTACCAGGATTGTCCAGAGAAGTATAAAAGGCATAGGGATATTCGGTCTTATCGGAAACAAGAAGGTGAGAATTGTAAACGTCATAGATGCGTGCAGCCCAGGCCTCATACAGTGCAGCATCCTCGGTGAATCCCAGCTCCTTTGCCATCATCGCCACGTTGCAGAGACAGCGATAGTAAACCGCAGTCTCAATGTTTGCTTGGTGATTACCAAAGGCTATATCATAGCCCCAGTCACCCAGTCCATGCTCAATCAGACCGCCTTTCCGCTCCTTGGTTTTCATATACTCCATATATCGTACACACGGCTGATATATCTTAGAGTATACGTGAGTAGACCCGTAGTAGCGCTTGATCAGCTCGGGAAGGAAGCACACCGCACAGCCCCAGGTAATAGTGTCATGGAGAGGGCCACACATATACCGAATCTCCGGTGCCATTGTAGGTACTAGGCCATTCGGCTCCTGAGCATCGATGATGTCGTCCAAAATCTTGGTATAGACTGCTTCCATGTCACGTATATACTGTGTGGCAGGCGCAAGAAGCGATGTGACCTCTAGCCATCCAAACTTCTCAATCTGCGGGCAATCGGTATGGTAGCTAAAGATGTTGCTGGCAAAGGTCCAATAACAAGCGTTGATAAGTGCGTTAACGTCTTCTTTGTCAGTTTTGAGATACCCAAGCTGCCGTGCAGCTGATGAGACATGCCGAGCACTTAGAGAATGAATGATGGGAAGGCTATCACTGTCGGAGTCGGAGACCCCCTCCACTTGGATATATCGAGCACTCGTGAAGCAGAAGTCAGGCTTCCAAGTCTCACGACCTTCACCAGTAAGGATGATCTTGGAGTATACGTTATGCTCGAATTCTTTAAATAGGGGATCCGGCATAAAGACCTCTCCATTATCTCCAAGGGTCTCGGCGTATCGGACAATGACTTCTGACGCAGATGGTCCACTGACCTCCAGTTGCACCATGATGCTCGAGTTCTGCCCCAAGTCATAAACAATAACACCAGGGCGTGTGGCCTGCTGTTTGATAGGGTGAAATGTGTTATGTAGGACGACTGGGGGCTGACTCTGGTAGCTCAACTTGCCTCTCGGACCAGTCAAAGGCTTTGCTGGCGACCAGTCTGCATCATCGAATCCAGGAGAATCCCAACCAGTGGGGTACAAGCGTAGATCCAGATTCTCTGAGGCGTAAATGTTGGCAAGAGTGGTGGCACTTTTCCTCACCTTCCACGTAGGGTCTGACACTATGGTCTCGTGGGTACCATCGGCATAATGCAGGTGAACCTCAGCGAAGAAGCATAGTTCGTTTCCATATCGAACGAAGGTATTATCCTCGTACGTAGGCCAAAAGAAACGGTCACCCTGATCGCCTGCGTAGAAACCATTTCCAACATGAGCCCCAAGGACGTTCTCCCCTTGTTGCCATTGAGAAGTCAAGTCGTAACCGACATACTGAACAGATCGGTGGTAATTTGTCCAGCCAGGATCAAGTACATGATCAGATGCCGCCTTTCCGTTGACGGTGAGATTGAAATGTCCCAGTCCCGATGCGAATACAACGACTCGAGAGGGCTGTCGAGCAAGCTGGATAGACTTTCTTAAATAGATGGGCTTGTCTCCACCATCACCCACCCAAACTGCCTTCCATCGGTTGGGCTCGTCCTCAAACCAAGTACGGAATATGAGACTACTGTGTGGCATCTGTCGCAATTAGTAAAAAGCGCAAGTCAAGCCAATGGCAACTAGGTATGCTTACATATGTCTGATTCATGCTGTATGGCGGTAACAGCCCCGATGAGCGGGGATATGCGGTATAGAACTCGTTCACAGAGCTTTCGCAGGGGATGCCATTTTCGTCCCATACAGTCACTTTCCAGTAATGGAAAGTGGTTGACTGGAAAGGCTGGTTGGGAGTGCATTTGATGTTTCTCTGAGCATCACTCTCAACACGCCCAGAGTCCCAGCATACACCACTCGATTCCAAATTATCACGGTCGGCAGATACAACTACCCGATAGGCAGTCTGCCTGGCATACTCGTTGTCGGCGTGCAAGGCCCAGAAGAATCTAATCTCGTCGGCGTCTATACCAATGACTTCGTGGAAACCATGGATACCGCAACGAGTGAATTCCATGACGTGGGTAAGCAGGTGCCGCTTAAGCAAACAACTTTATCTAAAGGAAGATTCAAATTATGTGCGAGGCCACGCCTTGTAAAATAATTCAAGGTGGACACGAACTATGCCAGCCGTTGTTGGGGTCTTACTCGGCAGAAGTAACACCGGTGGACTTGCCGAATGATTGCAGGGTTTGAAATTATCAAGGACTGCAGGGATGCCGTCGGGCTCTTTCTTACCGAACTAGAATCATGATGGCGTCCTGACGGCGTGATTTATTTCTTCTAGGCTTCGGAGGGCTCCATTTTCGGGAGTGAAATACGGTTGCGACGGGGCCCACTAGCCTATCTTTAGTCTCTGGCCGGTGCCACGCCGGGTCGCTCTCCATAGTTTTAGCTCGGTTCAATGTTGTCCGTTGTTTCCCCACGGGATCTCCCCCGGTCTGGGGTTTGTTGCCTTCAAGTGGATGGCGGGCTTATATAGTCTTGTCTTGGGCCTCTTCTTGGTGTCCGAGATGCACGACCGACAAACGCCTGCATCCTGATACTGTAACAGGGTACCGGTCACAGCATTAGACATGGGGCATGCACAAACAGTATTCTCGGCTCTCTTCCTGGCCGTGGGAGGTACTTCTGGGTCCCTTGACTTGAGCTATTGTCATGTTGCTGATCAAACGGCAATACAGGGTTCCTTTTCGGCTATGATAGTGGTATCATCACTTCAACTATATCCTTGGCCACATTCAAGGAATACTTCGGCAACCCTAGTGGCACGGTAACCGGTGGAGTGGTGTCTTCATTCCAGGGTGGTGCTATCGCAGGGACAATGTTTAATATGGTTTTCGCTGATCGAATGGGTCGAAAGTACTCCATCTTGGCCGGTGCCATAGTTTCCTGTCTAGGGTGTGCCATCCAAGCCGGTGCTGTGGCTATGTCGATGTTGATAATAGGTCGATTCATTGCGGGAGTAGCAGTCGGCATGCTTACTGCCACTATCCCCATGTATGCCTCGGAGCTCTCTGAGCCTCAAATGCGTGCTGCTTTATCCGGATTACTACAATGGATGTTGAGTTGGGGCTATCTCATAGCCCAGTGGCTAGGATATGGCTGCTCTTTCAACACCACGGAATTCTCATGTAAGGCTGATTCCATTTTCTTGACCTTTTCCACTATCCTGCTATTCCTCTGGGGGAATACTAACCAACCAACTCCTTAGGGCGGTTCCCTTTGGCGTTCCAATGCATTCCGGGTATAATCCTAGTGGTGGGCATCTGGTTTCTCAAAGAGTCTCCTAGATGGCTTATGGAGAAGGATCGTCAGGAAGAGGCGAGGCAGGTGCTCATGAGCCTCCGAAAAGGAAAAGACCCCGAGTTGATTGAACTGGAATTTCAAGAAATTCGTGATGTTATCATGGCTGACCGTGCGATGGGCGAGATTACCTGGAGGTCCATCATCTCAAAGCCTTCCTGGCGCCGTCGACTACTGCTTGGTTGCGGTGTTCAAGCTTTTGGTCCCCTATCTGGCACCAACGTTATCAACTAGTAAGGCGCCCAGCAACTTCTATCATAAGTAAATCTGCAGTAACTGACAGCGATCTAGCTATGGGCCGACGATCTACAACATCCTGGGCATCGATAACCAAACATCACTTATGATCATCGGTATCAGTGGAGCCCTTTCAGTTGTCTACTGTACTATCGGACTCTATCTCCTGGATAAGACTGGTCGTATTAGACCTTTGCTCGTGTCAGCCGCTGGCCTTGCGGCGGCATTACTAGTCAACGCAGTGCAAGCACAATACATGGATCAGAACAATGCTAACCAACTGCGCTCAATGGTGGCCATGAACTTTGTTTTCAGCTTCTTCTACACACCACTGGGTATCATTTCTTGGGTCTACCCTGCCGAGATCTTCCCCGTTGAGGTTCGAGCCTTGGGTAATGCGATTACAACTTTCACCAACTGGACGGTTAACTTGGTCTTTGCCCAGTTCTCACCAAACGCACTTGACACTGTCGGCTTCAAATATTTCTATCTCTTTTTCGCGCTGAACCTCATCGCCTTCGTGTGCTACTGGTTCTTCTACCCAGAAACCAAGGGCCGTACACTGGAGCAAATGGACGAGCTCTTTGGGGACCAGATCGTGCCGCACGCATTGCAGGACCCAGAAGGAGCAGCCGCTGCAATGGAAAAGGAAAGAGCATTGACAGATCATGTGGAGTTTGGTGAGAATAAGGAGCAGGTGTAGCCCACTTCTTTCTATCTACTACTATACACCCCATGTCAGATTACAATACCTTTGCAATGTACGTTATGTGATAATTAGTCAATTAAACGCAGACAATCTCCGCAGTTTACCCATATTCCTCCTAGCAGCATCTAAAACAAACTGCATCTGTATCTACATGAATCATGGGACTCATCTACACAATCCTATAATATCCAACACCCCAACATCTCCACCTCCAGTTCGGTCAGTTCTACACCGAACACACCAACTAATAAACCAAAAGCACGTACTAGCTATATCCAAACTTTTCTATCTCATTTACAAACGTAACTTGGAAAAAGTTTAGGGTTATTTCGGGAATTCCGAACCAACCAGGCTAAGCACTCACCCGTCTCCTGGCCCGGAAAAGCCGAAGCCCTACCTACTTCTCCACCAGCCCCTGGTATGGCATAACTGCGTTAAGACACGGATTAAAATACCGCACGCTGTCATTCGTCAATTATTGATCGATTGCCGAGGATATCTGCCATCCTGGGGCCCCAGACCCCGTTCCCCGCGCCGGAGGATTATTCAAGACTCAAGATTCAACCAAAGCATCAAGCTAACAAGTGGGGGACGGCGGCGTTTTCGGCATCTGATTGGAGAGTCGCCGCTCCCCCCGTAATTGCTTCGACCAGCAAGCGGCGGCGACTCTCCAATCATTTACTGAAAACGCCGCCGCTATGTACTCCGTCCACTTGCGTCCGGTTCAAGGTCGCTTTGGGCACGCCGTTTTGGCCGGTTCGTGGGACGTGGGAGGCATGGACTGCCTGACTGGTCCCAGACCAAAAGGCATCCACATGAGTAGTTTGTTCTATCGTACATTATTCCTCTTTCGCCTCTCAACCCGATTGTGGAGCAATGCAATAGAGTGGGAGGCTAAGACTAGGGTGTTTGTAGTCGGCGCTTGGTAGGAGCGGCTCGGTATCTACGGAGCACTTTTCGGCAGATTGTGGTCAGTCGGGTTCGGCTCGTCTTTCAGAGCGAGGCTTGGTGTTCCAAGGCTCAAAAATTAGTAGAATTTGGAGCTAGGCGGTAGGTATATTATGTTAAGCCTGTCTATGACACTGTCAGATCGTTCGCTGCTGTACAGTAGATCGTCGCGTGAAACGTCAGATGTTATTATTATGAACACGGCTCCCGACTGCCCATATCTGTAGTATAGCAACGGGAATCAATAGGACAGAATAATTCTACAGGCGAAAAACCTTCAAATATAAAACCACCTGTGCCATGCAAAATCCGTCATATCGCAACTTGCGCCGTCATACTCCTGAAGACATAGACCGCAGAAAAAGACAATGTTGATTGATCACCAGAAACTGCACCATCCAATCCAGTGCTGACAAATGTTCTCAACGCTAGTTGCCTGCGCGAGGAGTTTATCAACCTGGTCACTGACGTTGAGCTCATCAGAGGGCTTGAAATCTCGGCCGGTTAGCTTCTCCTTGACTCTCGCCAGCACTTGTAGGGCGCGTGCATTCTGTGCTTCGCGGGCTTCATTAGGTATGCCTTCCTGAGCATCAAGAATGCCGCCTTCAAGAATGGATGGCCGTCGGTGACGGGAGAAGTTGCTGGGTTGGACACCCTGTTCAGAGTTGATATTACCAATAATCGATTGCCGGCGCTCTGATGAGAATGGCATCCTGTCTGGCGACTCACGGATTCCTAGACGCCAGTTGATCAAAGGATCATGAATGAACTGCAGGGGGAAAATGTTAGATCCGAAATTTTAATAGAGCCAATATGAGGGGGCGATTCTGAGAACTTACAGCTTCTAGAACAGCCATCAGAGAGTCTTTGTTCTCTCTCAAGACACGCATGACAGCCTCGCACGTGATCCGGTAGCTTCCTTCAATGTTGCTGACTTCCATGGCAAAGGTCAACATACGAGTCAACCGGAACGGAACTCTTTCGGGATATTTCTCCCGATGCATTGCAACTTCGAAGCAGTCACCAAAATCAATGTGAACCACCTTTCCAGTAATCCGGTCCAAAAGAAGATTGGACGGATGACGATCACCTAGACCAAGGATGTAACCCACCATTGACATGACACCAAGGGACCGAGTATAGTTTGTTCGTCGCTCCAACCACGCTTCTGAGCTTTTGCTCTTAAGCCACAGGACCCGGTACAGATCCTTTCCGGTGGTGTTATCCATAGCATATCCAAAGACTTCCACTTTCTGCATGAGAGTAAGGTTGTCATAATCTGGCGCCATTTGCAACATGATACGGTGTTCTATGTTCAGGAGAATTCGGCGGCTCTCACGGTATTCCTTGATCAATGCGTGCAGCGTGTCACTGTTCGAGACCCAGCCCAGGAGACCAGAGCTCTGAGATAAGGGAATGGCTGGGAATCGTTGCACTGAAAGATGACGTTTAAAGCTCTCGCTGTCATTGTCGAGGAGCGTATTTACAAGGCCGAAGAGCTGCATGACTCGCTCATCCTGTCTTATATCTTCGTGTCCCTTAAGTGCGTACATGTATGAATTACCGTCGCTACCTTTCAGGGTCATTCTGCGTGGTCGTTTCTTGGTCTGAAGGACATGAAGTATAGGATCGAAGCTCATGATACGGATGATTGGTCGGCCACTCTGGTAGGTGCCCGGAACAGCAAGGTCAAGGTCGACACAATCTTTAAGTTTGGGAGAGACATATTTCAAGTCGAGTGTAGACAATTGCGGAAGCTGTCGGCTTATCTTCCGGAACACGGTGTAGTAAAGATCCCAAGCTTGGTTTAGGTCACCAATCTCTTCGGTCTCACGGTATAACATGCAGTAATGCTTTGCCTCTGCAAGGTCACGACCAAACGCCTGTGCGAAGGATACTTCGCGTAACGTTTCGGCCCCCTTATCAAGCATTTCATGGAGTGGTGCTAGAGTTGCAAACATTCCTTCGACATTGTGATCACCGAAATAGAGGCGGGAAGCTTCTTCCAAGCCTTCGTGCCAGAGCTCGTGCCATAGAACGGCAACCCGAATCAATTCATGACTTACAAGATCAGCTTGCTCGACCAGTTTTGCACTGTGTTGCCGCATACTGTCCATGATGCTACTTGCAGACTGCGACCGTCGAGCAACGTTTGATTTCATCGCAACGGTCAACGGATACACCAGCGCCTGAGGATGGACCTTACCGACCTCAGCAAGTAGTCGATGGACAGCGCTTCGGACCCGAATATTCGGCTGATTAATTCGTGCAATGAGTTGAGGTGTAACCGCGAGCCAGGTGTCGATGCTCACCGCCGTGAAACCTTCTGTAACAACGGCATTTACTTCCTGATCGCCACCGTGAGTAAACCAGAGAGTAAGTAACCTCAGGGTATCTTGCAAAGAGGAGGTTGACGACAATGATATGGACCTGAGGAAACCACGAATGGCGGGTATCACATGCTCTGTTACAATGTGCCCAGGAACCATGGCCAATGTCGCGCCATCTTTGCTAGCCTGGCTTGCGATCGTTGTAACGACCTCAAAGTTAGCCAATGCCCACGAATGCCACGCTTTGTAAGAATCGCGGTTGTATTTCGTAGCGGCAGAGTATGCGTTGAGGACCTCTCGGACGTGCTCCGGTTTCCAATCTCCTTTTTGTAGAGAAGTTTGCCACTCGCCTTGTCTAAGGTAGCTCTTAGCAAGGAGCCTTCTGAACTTGGCCACATCCCCAATACGCTCTCGTAGACCCGTTATATCTCCATGGCCTGTATCTTGGATGCCATTAACGCCATTAACGCCATTATGCTCTGACTGTGAGATCATGAGAGCATTGAATCTCGTGAAGTCTTCGGTGAGACTTGTAGTGAACTCCTTAAGCATCTGAAGAGCTTCACGCTGCCGCCCAGTAGCCCAGCTGAATTTCAGGCGAGCATATGTGACCTCTGGAGGAGCAACAGCCCGGGTACCGTTGTTATCCGAAACAACAGTTTCCAGCGATGTTAGAGACCGCTCCGCAAGCCCCATTCGATTGGATTTGCGACAAAGATTGGCGAATTTAATCCACATATCGAGGTTTTCTCGAGGGGAGGTGACAAGTGCTCTAACCTTGAGCATACGCTGCCACACTTCAACATTTTGTTGGCAGCCAAGTAACCGTTTGTTCCATGTTTGACGCATAGAATCCTGCTTCTCTGGATCACCGATGTTCTGCTTGTATGTAATGATTTCCTCGAGCTCAGCGAGCATCTGAACGCGGACGACGACATTGTAAGCACGGTTATATGATTCACCAAGCAAGGCTGAAAGTTCGGTGTCGAGTCCATTCCGCGCTTTCTCAATATACATCGTTGCCTCTTCAAACTGGTTCCGATGAATGGCAAGAATGGCACCAAAGAATGACCTGTCGGGTGACTGTTCTTTCATGACACCTAGGTAGGAGTCCATCAATTCCCATTGACCACGACCCCATGCTGCAGCTGCAGCTAGAGGAGCAATGGCTCTCCGATGTTCCAACGAGGCCTGATTCCACTTCTCCTGAGCGAGATCAGATAATATTTTCCACTCGCCAAGGGCGTGCAGACAGCGCATTTTGCCCATTGTGACGCCAAAGGAATCTGGGTCTATCTTCTCACGTCTCTTGTAGGCAGCAAGTGCCTCCTCCCAGCGCTGGAGCTTTTCAAACCAGGTTTCCTTAAGCTCTACATCCCGATAAGCTTGGGCTTTCCGAAGAATACCAATGGCAGCATCAGATTGTTGAAGCTGGTTGTTGATGGTAATCAAAGCCTCAACTGCACCCGAATTTTGATCCTGTTCGAACTCAAGTTCTTTATAGTGGAGAGCTTTAGCAAATGCGTGACACTTGGCGGCGTATTTGCCAAGTGTGCGGATGTCGATGGGAAGAGCTTTGTCGTCGTGCTCCATGAACTCAGCGAGGTTGAGCAAAACCTGCAAGATTTCAGGAGGGATATTGGGTGACGTGAGCGCCTTTTCGATCGACCGAACAAGCTCTTCCTGATATTGGTCATACAACTCAGTCCAGCAGGA